TAGTTACTTTCAATATGTTATAAAAAGATTCAATAGTTGAATACACAGTACATTTTGTCATTGGTCACCTTTAATTTAATGAAGGGTACAGAAATAAGTGGAGACTACAAAAACAAAGAAAGAGGTTGTTTATTGGAAGCTTATATCAAGGAGTCAGCTATCATTGCTTGTGTCCGATGGAGATTCAAAAGTAGTCAAGGGAGTAGGAAAAAATACAAGAAAGAAACGTTGTAGGTATGCCGATTGGAGGCTCACTTTGGGAAGCTGAAGGCAATTAACAAGATGTGGGGGCTCTTATGTGATTAGCTTGGCAGTAGGTGATCCTGAGTTGAATGTGAGGACAAAACTGAAGGAAACTGGTCCCCCCCCAATCATGTCCTTACTGTCTGATGATGCAGAGACTGCAGTTTGACTTCCTGGGCTGGCTTCCACAGAGTTTGTAGATCAAAGTTCTATTGTCCTATGAGGCTTGGCTATTGCTCATTTGCATGGTCAATCTCTCAGTTCGATTGGGGGGGGGCGGGTAATTTTCTTAGTTTCAAGAGATCAGTCAAATTAGAGAAGGGTGGGGTCTATATCTTCACCTCCTGGATACTATTCATTTGTTTCCATGGTCAATGTTCTTATGACATCTTTTTGACATTCTTGTTTTAGTGCCAAAGTGATAGTTTGAGAGGATGGTGGTGCAGAATTTAGGACCCTAGACAGAAGGCAAAGAATCAGCATCATTACAATAATGGCAAAACAAAAACAAATGACAGTTTCTTTAAGGCACTTAGAACCAGGAATCCAGCTGCCCAACTCAGCCTTGGAGAACAAATGTTACAAGCTACGATGCTGATCAATGTAAAGCAGCAAAACAGCTCTTTCCTTACGGCTATATATAGCCCTCTACCTTATCTTTCAAGAGGTACAAATAGAGCGGAGCATTTTTGTGATGGTGCGGGTGCCTTCTGTAACTGCCCAAGAAGAAGTCTAGAGCCACAAGATTGTCTATCGCAGCTCATGCAACTGATCTGTATTCATTCAGTGGAGGAGCAGTGTCCCTGACAACTCTTGTTAATAAGTTGTCTGCACTGATTTGTATTCATATCCCTCTCAACGGCTTCAACAATGAATCATTAATTCCCTCAGGAAGGGTTTGTGAGTAATGATGAGTGGCTTGTTTGGAGGAACTTGTGTGACTCGGATTTTTAAAATTTGTATTAATTTTTTTAATGTGTATGAGTATACCTCCTGCATGCATATAAGTGCACCTGTGTCATGCCATGTCCATGGAGGTCAGAAGAGGACATCAGATGATCCCCTGGAACTGGAGTTATGGAAAGTTGTTAGCCATTATGTGGGTGCTGTTCTTCTGCAAGAGCAGCCAGTGCTCTTAACCACTGAGTCAGGACTTTTCATTTTGGTGATTTACAGAATTAAAATTGCCATGTGGAGACATATCTTGAAATACCACTGAGTCAGGACTTTTTGTTTTGGTGATTTACAGAATTAAAATTGCTATGTGGAGACATATCTTGAAATACCATTCTTAAAGTACATGAAGCGTTAACTGAGCTAAATAGCATTAGATGTCCTAGCCAAGAGGAAGTTGGATTCAGGACACATTGAGATACAGGGGGTTGGGGTGGGGAGTTAGACTCACGATACAAGGTAGGAACCAAGGTTTTATATTAACTAGGGTACATATTTTGGTCTCAACTAGTCTCTTCCAGGTGGCAAATATTTGACCCATTACCTTATAAAGGTTGTATTTTTCAAATTAGAAATACCAATAGTCTGAGCAACACTCTAATAACAAATTTTTTCAAGGAGAGATAAACATAAGCAAAGTTACATGTTGATTTGTTATGATTATTTGTCCAGGTCATTGCAAATGGGAGCACCATTGGCTGTACCTCCAACTGTTTGATGACATTAAAATTGCTTAGAGGTTTTCTATCATGGAAAGTATGGTGAGTCTAGTGATAGAGTAGTCAATGTGACTGAGGGAAGTGACTATTATTTGAGATACCCTAAGAATGGCATTAGAGTATGTTCTGGTCTACACTAGCACAGAATAAAAAAAAAAAAGAAAAAAAATAGAAGAAGCCAGGTGGGAGGTCAGAAGCTAGGGTCTATTTAAAATGAGAATAATGATTACAATCAAGCAGAGTTTAAACAGTAACAAGTACTAGACAGGGACCCTGGTTTTATGCCTGGGGAGGAAACTGTCTACTCTGAGTTCATCAACTTATTTCTAAAGGCCATGTGTCAGTTTCAGAAGACTGGCTGTTTCCTGGAAGATCTCTCTTTTTTTTTTTTTCAAATATAACTTTATTATTTATTTGTATTTATTTATTTATTTATTTATTATTTATTTATTTAATTTATTTATGTATTTCATACAGAACATCCCAAACAATCTTGTTCATCTTTATACCTGCATCCCAAACAGCACTCTCCCATAGCCTCCCCCAATGAAGCCCATATACTCTGTCATCCCTGTTACTGTCCACCATGTTATCAATGCTGAATCTAGTTAGCCTATCTAGAGAATCCTCAGTTTGAAGGTTCTTGCTGGATTAGCTTTTCAATTGTACAGAACTCTGATTTGTTTTCTTTTTTATCAGTTTTTTAAAATTAGCATAATAGATTTTGTTATGGCATTTCATATGTTCTTTGTTCTTGTTGATCCTCTTTACCCACTCCATTCCTCCATCTCCCTGCCTCTCTCTTAGTGGTCCCATTCCTCTCCCCAAAATCCCTGCTTTGCTTTTATATCATATGTGTTCTACTACCCTCTTCCCCCAACCCCTTAAGGCCCTTTTTCCTCTCTCACGGTCTCCTTCCTTGTTTCATGAACTACCCCCCCCCCAATACATATATATGTGGTGGTGTATTGCCGGGGGTTCGAACCAGCGACCCCCCCCACCCCGGGTAGTGATGATTGGGGATGAGTAAGCACGCTGTTCGCCAGCCCACGCCACCCCCAATACGCGGGGACACTCAGATGGAACGGGTTGTCTAGTCAGGCCTTTAGGTCCCCACAGTGCATGCCTTTAGTCCCAGCACTCGGGAGGAGGAGGCAGACGGATTTCTGTGAGTTCGAGGCCAGCCTGGTCTACATAGTGAGTTCCAGGCCAGCTGGGGCTACAGGGAGACCCTGTCTCAAAAAGACCATAAAAAAAAAAAAAATACAGAGTCTGAACATGAGAGGAAACGTGCTGTATTTGTCTGAGACTTGCTTCTTTTGTTAAACGATAATTTTTATCTATTCATGTTCATGAAAATGTCATTTCATTTTTCTTATGCCTGCATAAAATTCCACTGAGTACATGTACTACATTTTATTTATCCATTCATTTATTGAATATCTAGGCTGGTTTCATTTCCGAGCTATCATGACTGGTACAATTACAAACACGGATGTGATGCGTAGTATCTCTGTTGTAGGACTTAGAGTCCATTGGATATATACCTAGGACTTGTGTAGCTGGGTCTAAGGCTCTATTTTTAGTTTTTAAAGAAACCTCTCTGCTGACTTCCATGATGTCTACATTGATTTGCTTCTTTAGTTGTGAAATGTGAGTCCAAAGATGGACTCCGTGGAATTTTGTTGTATTTGATGTTGAACATACCAAATAAGATTCCTTCCAGTGAGGTTCAAGAATAGTCTCTCTCCTTGGGGCTGGAGAAGTGGCAACGTTGTTAAGAGCACTGACTGTTCTTGCAGAAGATCCAGGTTCAATTCCCAGCACCCACATGTCTGCTAACAACCATTCATAACTCCAGTTCCAGGGGATATGAGGCCCTCTTCTGACCTCTGGGAGCACTGCATGACACAGGCGCACTTACATACATGCAGGCAATACAGTCATACACATAAAATAAAAATAACAAAATATAAAAAAAGAATAGTCTCTCTCCTATCTCTTCCAGGAGATGAAATTTTCTTGTCAAAGATCATGAAGAGGCTGCTTAGGATTGTGTGGAAATATTAGTTATAGGACTGGTTATTGAACATGAAACTTTTGCAGTACTTTTTCTGTGTGGTAGGCAAATTCTGCTTTTAGGGGTGAAACTTCTAAATGCCTGGGTCTTCCTGCCAGCATTCATAGGGACTAACCTAAGTATTCCCATAGGAATGGACCACGTGGCCCTAAGGGTTCATGGGAGTGGGACTACCTTTGCCTAAGGAAGCTTAAGTATTTTTCAAAGCTTTGGTAATCTAAATTTAAGGATGTTATTGGATTGCTCAACTCATCCAAAAGATTGTGAGTGGCAAGGACAATATAATTTTTGATAAAGATTATATATTCTTTAAAAAGATTTACAGTTGAGTAAGAGCTAATGCCTGATAGTAATTGTATAAAGTATGCACCATGGTCACTTCTTATGTATTATATTATTATTATTATTATTATTTTGGCCCCAGGTTGGAAACATAAAATCAAGTAACTTTCAGCAATTTTAAAGGCTGTAGCTTTTTGGTCAGGAAATGCCACAGATCACCCTGAAAATAGACATACAATAACTAAGATAGTTAAAAGTCAATCTGAAAATGCTGAAAAGTCTATTGAGGCAGGGGCTCAGCCATGTCCATGTGTGTAGATCCTTCTGGGGCTGTGCTGCTGACAGGTAGCACAAGATTCCCAACTAACTTCAACTGTCTTTCTTAAAGTTTCACAACTAGTGCTAATTTGAAAGTCACCATCTTGTCTATGCGATGATGAGTGGCTTCATAGAAACAACTGATACCCATTTGAAGATATTTGGTAGCCACGAGCAACTGTCTTGGAGTTCCAGAGATTACCTGAGTAACAACAGTGCAACCAGTCCAGAGGCTGGTTTTACACATGGTGTCTTTGAAGAGTTGCACTAGGGTTTACCTAGCCCAAATCAATGCAGCTAGGCGGGGCTAACCTCAGCTCCGCCTCTTCTGCCCCATCCATCTGAACCAGCTGAGTGTCTAGCGCCTGCTGGAATGCGCCAGCGCCCCAGAACCAGGCTAGATACTTCACGCATGCGCAGAAGCTGCGTGTGGTGGTTTGCGTTTTGATATGGCCCTTAGGCCCTGCCGTACCGTCTGCGCGGCCCTCCGCGTCCCAGCTCCGCGGCGCGTCTGCCCCCCGTGGGCCCTGTCATGAACGCCGAGAACTTCGCGGCGGGCGAACGGCGAGTGTCGCCGGCCTACGTGCGGCAGGGCTCTGAGGCCCGGCGTGCGCACGAGCACCTCATCCGTCTGCTTCTAGAGCAGGTATGCCCCTCTGCCGGCTCCGCCCGGGCCTGGCGCCCCTGCCCGCCGCGGTGCCCCTTCCGTCGCTGCGCCGCTCCCCGCGCTGCCCGGCCCGCCGGCCTGTAGCCCTTAGGAGGACGCGGGTACCCGGTTCTCCGCCTTCCCGGGACGGGTGGGGAATCCACGGCTCCTCACTCTTTGCTGAAAGCCAAAGTCCACGGGTTCCTCAGCCTGGGATGACGCCGGAAACACGTGCAGTTGTAAACTATCCACCTGCCAGGTTCGAGACCTCCCTGCCTGGAGCCGCCGATCGTCCCGCCTTTGACCCCCACCCAACCCCCCACAAAGTTTGACGGCCCTGATTTGAAGACCCTCCTGGAGGGGGTGGCACGGTTGCTTTTCAGTTACTGTCACTTAACAGATTTAAGAATCCTAGTAACCCCTCGCGAATGTGTTTCTTACCACTAATCAAATGTAGTAGGAATGTTTGACCAATTGGAGGTTTCTTCTTAGTTGCTGAGTTTATGTCCAAGGTTGAGGAATCAAGGAGCCTGGCAAAGAAAATATTCAAACATTCAAGTACTTTGATGCTAGGTTTTCAGGACCAGTGATTTACCTGAATGTAATTATTATTTTTCCAAGGGCAAGTGTCCAGAGGATGGATGGGATGAAAGTACAGTTGAACTCTTTTTACATGAGCTTGCAATCATGGACAGCAACAATTTCCTGGGTAATTGTGGTGTGGGAGAAAGGGAAGGGAGAGTGGCCTCTGCCTTGGTCGCTCGTCGTCATTACAGGTATGTTTTTTAAACTACTGAAGACATTTTCCCCTGCTTGGGGAGGGAGCTTAAAACAATGATGACAGTATTTTTTTTTTTAATTCAGTCTTTTCATTTCCATTGTAGGACTTTTGTTTTATTTTATTTTATTTTATTTTATTTTATTTTATTTTATTTTATTTTATGTGTATGAGTGTTTTTGTCTGCTTGTATGTAAGTCCACCACGTGCCTGTGGAATCCCCTGGAAGTGGAGTTACTGACAGTTGTTAGCTGCTGCCATGTGGGTTCTGGGATCCAAACTGAGTCCTCTGTAAGAGCAGCCAATGTTCTTAACCACTGAGGCATCTCTAGCTCCCCCCCTCCCATAGTATTCTTTCTAAATTATGAAAGTATCCATTTACAAATCACATCTTCCCTAGTCTAAGGGCCATGGAAATCCATTGCAAGAAGGAGATGGAAACAGTTTGAGCGGGCGCTTTTCATTTCTTTAGCCCTATATTTCAGGTTTTATTAGAGAGTAATGAACTTCAAAACATCATTCATCAGTATCAGAATCCCACTTTATAAATGCCTCTTTCTTTGTAGTCAATAGAGGAGAAGGTATATTAGATTATTAAGTTACTTGCATCATTTCAGAAAACTTTTTATCAATTTTCAAAACCATTTAATTACTAATTGATAGTGCTTTTGAATACGATTGTTTATGTCTATCTTCCAAACTTTCTGTGAGAAATATGTACTCTCAAGAACTTTGAGACAACCATGTGTGGTGGTGCACGCCTTTAGCCCTAGCACTCAGGAGGCAGAGGCAGGTGGATCTCTGTGAGTTCAAAGCCAGCCTGGTCTACATAGAGAGTTCCAGGCCAGCTGGGACTATAGGGAGACCCCCATCTCAAAAAGACAAACAAACAAAAACTTTAAGATGCCTGGTGGAGACATTTAATTCTTAGGACTTTCTAGAACCTAGAACGTCCAGACAATCCCCTCCGTCACATTCTTCCCAGTCAAGTCAGTAAAGCCCCCACTCCCCAATTTAGAGAATTAGACTATATCTCTTGGTGAAGGCCAACATGAGAAAAGGAATTGATTAGCTACCACAACATAGTTAATGAAGTTGTTTCAACTTAAAGCATCTCACATTACTGGTCTATGAAATGTATTACAATAGTCAATGCTGCCTCTGGTTATTTTTGGCCATTATATTTGTATACCTGTGTAATGACTGCTTGAATACTGAATGTATTTGTCCAGTTTTTGGCCCATTTTTTGCATAGGTTCATTCATGGAATTGGGCGATCTGGTGATATCTCTGCTGTGCAACCCAAAGCTGCAGGCTCTAGCCTTTTGAACAAAATTACCAATTCTTTGGTGCTTGACATCATAAAGTTGGCTGGTATGTACCCTGTTTTTGAAATTCGATTGGTGTGCAGACAGTGTGCTCCTGCCTGGTTTCTTGTATTAACACTTCTTAGCAAAAAGAATATGAACAGCTTTTAAAAGGACGTGCATGTAAAATGTGTTTCAGAGTAAGACAGAAATCAGAGCCATACCCCAGGGAATGACTTGAGCAGGAGAACAAATGTAGAGGAGCCACTAAGATGACAAGCCACGTCATCAGAAGAGGAATCAGTCTTCTCTTCAGGGAAGATGTTGATTTTTTAATGGGATAATGAATTCATTTTATTTCTTGTTTGTAGGTGTCCATTCAGTGGCCAATTGCTTTGTAGTTCCCATGGCAACTGGTATGAGTCTAACCCTGTGTTTCCTAACATTACGGCACAAAAGACCAAAGGCAAAGTATATCATATGGCCACGGATAGACCAGAAGTCCTGCTTTAAATCCATGATCACTGCAGGTAAAGAGGACGAGCAGCACGAGAAATGTGCAGATTCTTCTTTTTAATATATAGAGAGATAAATGAAAAGTTAACTGTGTTCTGTATTCATACTTTAAACAAAAATTGTGGTAGTCATGACATAAAATTTAGTGTATGTTTTGCTTCATGCAACTTTTAAGTCTATAGATACTTAAATATTTACTATTAAAGTTTGCATAATTATTATTTGTGGTGTGATCTTTAATTATATGCTAGTTAAATGTACTATTTGAATTAAAATTTTGTTTCTAATTTTATGCCTGCATATACGTAAGTGCACCCATGTTGTGCAGTGCCCATGGAGCACAGAAGAGGCTGTTGGATCCCCTGGAACTAAAGTTACGGACAGTTGTTAGCTGCCGTGTGGGTGCTGGGATTCGAACCCAGGTCCTCTGCGAGAACAGTCAGTGTTCTTAACCCCTGAGCCATCTCTCCAGCCTCCATTTACTTATTTTTTAATTTAATTTTTACATGTATCACTGTCTTGCCTTCATGTTTGTAAGTGCACCCATGTCACGCAATGCCCTCAAAGGTCAAAAGTGGGCATCAGATCCCCTGTAACTGGAGTTACAGACTGTTGTTAGCTGCCATGTGGGATCTGGGAACTGAATCTGGGTCCTCTGCAAGAGCAGCCAGTGCTCTTAACCACTGAGCTGTAGTCCCTCTAGCCCCTGAATTAAAAATTTCAAACCATGTTTTACAGTTAACTTAGAGAAGGCTCTTGTGAGCAGTGAGATGGACCAATGATCCACAGACTTTAATTATAGCCTTCTTTAGTGGTAAAACATTAAGTTGATGACTGTGATTTATTTCAATATTTGAATGATTAATTATGCATTATTATTTACGCCCATCTCTGAAATAAAATGAACTCAGTTCAAACTGAAATATTACCAGAGAATTTGCAGGCTCCTTTTTGTGAACAGAAACTGGTGAACTAGTGTCTTTTGTTACCAGTGTCTGTGCAGTTACTTCTGTAGACACCTGGTTAACATTTGCATTCCTTTATAGAAATCTTGTCACATCAAAGTATGAAAGTGTCACAGTCCTAGTTGTCTAGTTTTCTTCACACTATTTGTCCTGTTTGTGATTAATGCTAGTACTAAGTCATCATGAGGACAGGAATGGTCAGTTAAAATAAGTATTTAGAGTGCTGTGTGCAATTGTGTTACTTTCTAGAGTTCTATTTAGTTCACACTAATGCTTTGATTTCTGGTTGGCTTGGTTAGGTTTTGAGCCTGTGGTGATAGAAAACATTCTGGAAGGGGACGAGCTGCGCACAGATCTGAAGGCAGTCGAGGCCAAAGTCCAGGAGCTTGGGCCTGAGCACATTCTGTGTGTTCATTCTACTACGTCCTGCTTTGCTCCCAGGGTGCCCGATAGGTAAATATTTTGTCAGTATTGATCTAGGTGCTCACCAGTCTTTTAAATCAGATGCTATACACTAATTCTCAAACATGCCTAAACAGCGTTTGCTGGTAAGTGGAGAACGTTTGCCTGAGAGAATCTGTTGACCTGCAGGAGAAGTAATGCACTGGTTTGGTAGTCTGATGCAGAAGGAAAAACCAGTAATGTGGAGGCAGAGATCCCGTTCCCAGATTGACATAGTCTATTTCCTGCTCTTTATCTTGTTTCCAGTCTCTCAGTGTCTTTTCCCTCATTGCTTAATTCAAGCTAAGTGCTGGTTTAGTTCCATTCCTGTCTCCACCTCTTTGACCTTGCAATTCATTTTCTTAAGTAGGAATTACCAGTTTTAACAGATGATAAATGGAAAGTTTTAGAATTACTTACTTTCCTTTGAATTTCTTTTAATTAGGAGATTAACCTAGGTGTGCACTGTGCCTGTCTGATTTGAGGATAATATAAATAAGAAAATCAAAGCCCAAGGGCGAAAAAAAAAATATTCACCTTTCTAAAGAATAACCAAAGCCTGTTGTGATGGCACACACCTTTAATACCAGCACTTGGGAGGCAGAGGCAGGTCAGTCTCTGTGAGATCAATGACAGCCTGGTCTACATAGTGAGTCCAGACCAATTGGGGATACAGAGAGACCCTATCTCAAAAAAAAAATAAAAAAAGAATAACCACAAATTTTTATATTGAAAGTGTCATAGGGCCTAAGTTTATTAGCATAGATGTCTGCTTTTGTCAGCAACTCTGTTTTGTGATTTTAATATTTTGAACAGAAGTGCTAATAATAAGAAATCCACATACTGTTTGGCAGTGATAAGTGGGCATTAATTTTTATCATCTTACAGGTGGATTTTAAAAGAGTATTTAAAACTTGCTCTTGAAAGTTTGCCTTAGCATCATTCATGAACCTATAAATTCTGTTTTAAGATTATGTTACATACACTTCAGTGGTTTATTAATGGCCAATCACTTTAAGTTCCTGTTGAAATAGTAAATATTCTTCTCTGATGGTTTTGGTATGTAGAAAATTTTATTATGATAGAAATAAATCCCATTTCCAAAAATAGCATATGGATTTTACATTAGTGGTATTTCTCTTTGGAGACAATTTTGCCTCATTTTGACCAATGTTTACAGTATGCCTGGCACAGTGTTATTTTACATGTATCCCTGTTAGAAAAAGAATCACCAAGTGTTTTGTCAGCAAAATTTTCTCTTTTTTTAAAATATATTTTATGTGTCTGGATATTTTGCCTGCATATATGTAAGTGCACCCGTGTGTGCAGTGCCTGTGGAGGCCAGAAGAGGGCGTTGGATCTCCTGGAATTGGGTTATGGACACTTGTTAGCTGCCATGTGGTGCTGGGAACCAAACCTGGGTCCTCTGCAAGAGCAGCTGGTGCTGTTAACTGCTGAGCCATGTCTCCATTCCCACATTTGTCACTTTTCAGTAGCATGATGTAGTAAATGTTTCTGACGAAGTTTATGAAATGGTGATACACAGTTAGTAGTATGTTTGAATTTCTGATATTATAGTTTTAATTTTAATAGTATAGTATGTATTTTGTTTTTACTGGTCAGATATTGAATGGGGATTATGGACTAGGAAGTCTGCTTAGAAGAAATGTTAAAATAATGTCACTTCTAACTGATAAACTACAGTTGGATTCATGTGGAAAATTTTTTTCTGCTTTGTCTTTCATTTAATACTTTTTTATACATCCTGTTAACACATTTCATCAAATCAGATCATCTAAAATACAAGTGGTTTTTCTTTTAAAAACAACTAATATTATACCTTATTTTCAAGGAAGTTCTTTATTAGAAAAAGATTTTTTTAGATTACAGGCAGTGAAAGTGCCTTTTTTCTTCTGAAGGATATACTTGTGTGTATTACAAGTCTATTTTGTGCTTCGGATGAGTTTAAGTAACAGAAGGAATTTCTGTACTGATTGTGAGGTTTATGAAAATGAATGAGAAATTGTGGCTTTGTGTGTGTGTGTGTGCTCGCGCTCACATGCACAAGTGTGTATGTGTGCGTGCTCGAGTGTAGGCTGAAGATGAGCGTCTTCCTTTGTCATTCTCTCTGCTGTTGTATGATACAGGGTCTCTTGCTGAACCTGGAGTTCCTTGATGCAGCTAGATTGCCTGGCCCCTAAGCTCCAGGGATCCTCCTGTCTCTGCCTGCCAGTGCTAGGATCTCAGGCATGTACTGTCATATCTGTTTTTTTTTTAATGTGTGTTCTGGGTCTTGAACTCAGGTCCTCATGCTTTCAAAGCAAGCACTTTACTGACTGAGTCATCTCCCCAGTCCTAAAATGAGTTTTTAGTTGATAAAATTTCAAGGAAGCAAATTGAAAATGTTTGACAGATGAACCTAATTTCATTCCAATTTACAGTTTAAAAACATACTAATTCACATCTATAAAAGATGTATCATGCATAATTTGTAACAACACCACGTATTTTAAATACATCCTTTTGAAAAGAAACATCTTTTTTTTTTTTTGTTTTGGTCTTTTCAAAACAGGGTCTCCCTGTAGCCCCAGCTAGCCTGGAACTCACTATGTAGACCAGGCTAGTCTTGAACTCACCGAGATCTTGCTTCTGCCTCTCGAGTGCTGGGATCAAAGGCGTGCGTGACCACACTCAGCTTGGAAAGAAACATCTTAAAATGTTTTGTTTCTGCTGTATGTTATGGCGCATGCCTTTAATCCCAGCATTGAGGAGGGAGAGGCAGGTGAGTATCTGTGAGCTTGAGGCCAGTCTGGTCTGTTCTAGACCAGCTGGGGCTGCAGTGAGACCCTGTCCCAAAAATAAAAACCAAAACCAAAAGTTTGCTTCCAAATTCTTTTATTTTGTGGAATAAAATAAAATTGTTTATTGCAGTGCAGGTTTTGGTTTTAGTTTTGTAGTGTGTTGACATTTCAAGTACAGGCAGCTTTAGTAAGAAGTGGTGCTGGGTTTTGCAAAGGAACCTTATTGTGTTCTGAAGTTTATTACCATATTTGGCATCAAGTTCAACTCTCAAATAGTCTTATGAGAGGTGTCAAATGGAAAGTAAGAGCGAAGAAGTATACATTTTAAATCAGTAGCTATTTTAAAGATGGTTTTGTAGCCAAGTTGTTGGAAAATGTCAGTGATATTGGTAGTGGAATGTTTTAACATTCTGTATTTTTTTTTTTAACATCATGGTCTATTTGAAAGTGAATTTTTTATTTTGTGAGCTATACTAATGTGAACTTTCTTAAGGTTTCTTGATGCACTGCTTACCAGGCCAGTACTAGCTTCCCTACGGTAAACCAACGCTAAGAGGCACGCACCACTGTGCCGGGGTTGAATAACGATCTTTTTGGTTTGTGTGTAGGAAGTCTTAAAATTGAAGTTATCTATATAAACATATAAATATTTTTTCTCATTTATTAGTAACATTAAAAGGTTTTGAGATTTTTCTGAAGTGTTTACTGTGTGTTTCCGAGCTTAAGAGTTACATGTAAAAGATATTCCAGAAGAAATTCAGTTTGACCCCCACCTGCTGCCCCATATACCTTAAGATTGACTGTTAAATTTTAAAAGTTCCCATGATTCCTATTTAAAAGCACAGTATGAGCCTGTCTTTCTGTTGAATATTTGTGTTTATAGATTAGAAGAGCTGGCTGTGATTTGTGCTAATTATGACATTCCACATGTAGTCAACAATGCTTATGGAGTACAGTCTTCAAAGTGCATGCATCTCATCCAGCAGGTGAGAGTTTTCAAAGATTCGTCCAAAAGCTCTTAACGTATTATAGGACTATGACCCCCGCCCCCCACAACAGCCTAATGTGGTAAAAGCAGTTATCCATTAGCCTGTACTTCAGGGAGACTTAGAAGCTTGTATCCAGTATTCTCTTAGTAAAAGTCATGATTCCTAGGTAGTGTGATGATGATTAGATAGTAGCTTTTAAAGACTGATTTATTTGCTTATTTATTTACGTGTGTGTGTGTGTGTCTGTGTGAGTGAATGCACATGCGTGTATGTGTGCTCACATGAGCACATGTGCCTTTTTGTGCACTTGGAGGCCAGAAGTGGGTATTGGGTGTCCTCCTCTAGTTGATGAGGCAGGGTCTCTCCTGACCCTATGACTCCATTTTCACAGCTAGCCTGGAAGCCAGCAGGTCCCAGCAATCTTCCTGTCTGTACCCCTCTCGGACTGGTGTTTTGAGTGTGCATGAGACACCTAGCTTGTTTTATGGGTGTTAGGATCCAAACTCTGGTCCTCATGATTGTGCAGACAAACTGCTCTTAACCCATGATCCTTGCGCTAACCTCTTTATAATTCAACATAGCGCAAGATACTAATTTTTCTACTATATTGGGTTTTAGTATTTTTTACTTTATGTGTATTGCCTGCATGTATGTGAGTGCACCCATGTTGTGCAATGCCAAGGAGGTCAGAAGAGGGCATCGGATTCCCCAGGAACTGGTGTTAAGGACGGTTCTTAGCTGCCATGTGCATGCTGGGAATCGAACCTGGATCCTCTATAAGAGCAGTCGGTGCTCTTAACCACTGAACCATCTCTCCCCAGCTCCAGGTTTTAGTATTTTTAAAACTATATTGATGAGGCCAGGTGTGGTGGTGCACGCCTTTAATCCCAGCACCTGTGAAGCAGAGGCAGGTGGATCTCTGTGAGTTCAAAGCCAGCTGGTCTACATAATGAGTTCCAGGCCAGCTTGGGGCTATAGGGAGACCCTGTCTCATAAAGACCAAAAAATAAGACTGTATCAATGATTGTATTTTACATAGGAGGAAGAAATAGAATGCAAGAAGAATAAAAATGAACCATGTGCATAAATAAAAATGCATTTTCAAATCTTAAAACATACAGAGCCATTAAAACAGTTCAGTATCAAAACCACTATACTAAACCATGTTTTAAGTAGTTGCTGGTTTAAAAATCTGTACTTATGGGGCTGGAGAGATGGCTCAGTGGTTAAGAGCATTGATTGCTCTTGCAGAGGACCTGGGTTCAAGTCCCAGAGAGATGGCTCAGTGGTTAAGAGCATTGATTGCTCTTGCAGAGGACCTGGGTTCAAGTCCCAGCACCCACATGGTGGCTAACAACTGTCTGTAACTCCAGTTCCAGGGGCTCCAATGGCTTCTTCTGACTTCTGAGGGCATTGCACAACATGGGTGCAGTTACATACATGGAGCTCATACACATAAAAAATACATATACTCATACACATAAAAAAATAAAAATAATTTTTTTTTTTTAAAAAAAGCTAGACTTATTCACTCTTTTTGAGATAGGGTCTCCCTGTAGCCCCAGCTGACCTGGAACTTGCTATGTAGATCAGACTGGCCTCTGAGATCCACCTGCCTCTGCCCCCCGAGTGCTGGAATTAAAGGTGTATGCCACCACACCAGGCTTTCCATTAACTTTTTAAGGCCGTCTCACAGTTCTAGATTGGATTACATACAGTGTGTGGAGCAATTAAAGCATGCGTTTTTCTATGCTGGAAAATTTGAACACATTTTACATGGATAATTCGGTTTTTGTTCTTCCCTTTTCCTCTTGTTCTCCTTTTTAATTTTTAATAGTTAAAGTTTTTTATTAGATTTATGTGCCTGTGTGCGTGCGTGCATGCATGTAGATTAGAGGACAATTTATAGGAGTTCTTTCCTTCTACCATGTGGACTCAAGGGATTGAACTCAGGTTGTCAAGCTTGGCAACAAGTGCCTTTATCCACCTAGCCATCTTGCTGGCCAATTTTTTAGTGTTTTTAATGCTTTCAAAATTCAACATTTTCTTAAAGTTTAGAAAAGGAAGAAGTAGATGATCATTCATAACTATCTTATCCTAAAAATACCTTTAATTATGTTTTGACATTCTGTTTTATATTCTATTTTTCGCATAGTTGTAGTCATTGTGTACATTAAAAATAAAATATTTTAAGCTTGCTGTTATGTTTCTATACTTTGCACATGTCTATATAGTTTTTTCACTCATTTTAAAGACTTATTTATGTTTATTTTTTATTGTGTGTGTGTGTGTGAGTGTATATGCTTTACCTGAGGAGGCCAGAAGAGGGCCCCATTCCTTGGAGCTGGAGTTATTGGTGTTTATGAGCTTCCTGACTTGGATGCTGGGGTCTAAATTCTGTTCTTCTTAATAGAGTAGCAAGTGCTCCTAACTGCTGAGCCATCTTTCCAGCCCCTCAGCATCATTTTAAAGTTCCTTAACACGTAGATGTTATTACCTAATTGAGAGGTGCCTGGTGCTTTGATGCCCACAACTCATTTTTGAATACTAGAAAATTAGGTGGCATGCTTCAAGAGACAAAGAATAAAAGAAATCCAGCTCCACAACCTTGAAGTTGTACCCCTAGCACCCTGTTTTGCCAGCATTTGTTTGCATTTGGGAAGTGATTTAGTGACATTTCAACCAGAAAAACAAAGTACTGAGATGAATGAATGAATTTTTTCAACGCAGATGCTATTTTCTTGTAGATACCATATTACCTTCTAAAAGGAAGGTAAACATTCTTTTCCCACAGATTGGCCTTCATGGAAAGGGGTCATGGCACTGTTGCTTTAAACCAAATAAGTTTGTGAGTCCTGCTGAGTTCTATTTCATGGCATTTTTAAATAAAGTTAACTTTGATTCACTTAGTAGTTCTGATTGGTACAATAGACATTTACTGAGGCCCCACCACAGGTGTTAGGCATCCTGCCAGGTTGTTAACGATTTCAAACTTAATCTGATAATTTAAGATTTACTTTTTATTGTTCCCATTCTGCATATGAAAAGCAACTTAGTGGGTGAAGTGATTTGCTGAGGTCCCATAGCTGTGGAATAGCTCTGTGTAGCTCAGTGTGACATCAGAGCCCCATATTTTCCTTTAAAATGTAAGCTACTAGGGGCTGGAGAGATGGCTCAGTTGTTAAGAGCACTGACTGATCTTGCAGAGGACCCTGGTTTGATTCCCAGCACCCACATGGCGGCTATGAACTGTCCTTAACCCTAGTTCCAGGAGAATCCGAATCCTTCTTCTGACTTTGGCATTTCATGACACGGGTGCACTCAAATACATGCAGGCAATACACTCATACACATAAAATAAATATAATAAATAAAATATTAAAAAAATAAGATACTAAAACCACAAGTCCTTTCTTTAGAAAACAGTATTCAGTAACCAGGCAATCAGTGAAAATACAGCTATACGTAAAATGTCTTAGAATTTTCAGTAACGCCTCAGAATGACTTAATTCTGAGCAGATAGGGTATTCTGATAGGCATGTGAAGTGTCAATTAGTGTACTTCCATTTAAGTGACTAATTTGAGATGTTAGGATAGATTGATGGAGAGGGACTTAGTAGAGCTAAAAAAAAAACACTGTGTGTAGGATTAACTGTTTTAGAATGGATTGTAAAGCTCTAACAGTGTGGGAAGCAGCAACTTTGCTTGTTTAGTTGGAGCAGAGTGTTACTACTGCTTAGGCACATGCTTATATGCTTATTTCATTCAGCATATTTACTGAGTTCCCGTTAGTGTGCTAGGTACCAAAATATGTGCTAGGGATGCAGTGATGGTGCATCCTGCCCCACTCCAGCTCTTCCGTCCTGCTTTTTTCATTTACTTCCTTAGTGGCAGCCTTTGTGGTTAGTGTGGGTAATACAGTCCTTGAACTCTTTCTGAGGTAAGTTCTGGCCACCTTCTTTTCTCACCAGTGTGTGCTGCCCTTTGAATCCTGTCTTAGTGATGAGATGAGAGGGTTTGAGCAGACTGGGGTCTGATCATCCTCTCAGTGCTCCTGCTCCTGGATTAGGTTCCGATTTCCCTCAGGAAGCCTAGACAGCATTTACATGTTAACAGAGCTCTTCTGCCACTTTATTTTACATGGTGCTATGGGTGTGCATTGCACTTACTTGTTCTCTAGTCCTGTGTGCTGCTGACTCCTTAGCTGTGGGTATTTCTCTGTTCACAGTTTGTTAGGAAGTAAGAAGAATCAGGGTAAGCTTAAGACTTAACCAGCCAGGTGATGGCCCTGGTGCCCTCTCCTGCCCCCACTACCTGTTGCCTGCATCTGGTCTTTTAGATTAGGCTAGCTATCTGCACTTTCCATTTTCCCTGTAATGTAGGATGGAGAGAAAGTGTGAAAATGAAGGTCAGACGTGCTTATAATATTAATAGGAATGTAGATTGTGAATATAGATTGGAAATCTGTGGCTGCAGATAAAGAAAGAAAACTATCGAGTTGAAATTTAGATAATATCTCCATTTTTAAGAGGAGAAAATTGAAGCACATTAGACAGGAGGTCATAGCCTCTGTTGGATGGGAACCAGAACTTAGCTTTGCATTTCCAGTAGGTAGGTAAGTACTCATGTTTTTTGCTGGAATATTAGATTTTTATTTGAAGTTCATTTGTGATGGAATGAGATCATCTAAGATTGTAATGTTAAGGAATGCAAGTTATGGCAATGCATCACTTTGGAATTTCCAGGAATATACAAGTAAAATTTCTATTAATTGATGTTAAAAATAAAATTTTGCTTTTCTTTCTTATCAGAAGCACAGTAAGAGTAGAGCTTGTTTTGTAAGAGTCTCATGCCCTGCCAACTGAGCTAGCTGGGCAACTCACATAGAGCTTGTTGTTTAAAGGTAGTTGATTGAGGGGCTGGGATTGGAACTTAGTGGTAGATTGCCTGGCATGCATGAGGCACCCTGGGTTCTATCCCTAACACTGTACCTTCCCTCCAGAAAACTCTAAAACAAACCAAAGAAAGTTAGTAGGTTGTCCATGTATCAGAGAGAGGCACTTAAATGTCTGTCTGTTTGGCAATTTGGGTGGCTACAGTTTATTAGATTGTGGTGGCTGGTCTTGAACAGAATATTTAAAGCTGTTTAATCATTATAGGCCCCACTTATTGTCAAATAAAGGACATAGGTGAGACACATGGGAGAAATGCATTGTCTCTTCCTTAGTTTTGAGGTATAAGGCTGTTTCACTGTATTCCCAAACGGTAATGAAAACCTACCTGCTTCACAGGGTGGCTGTGAGTGTTGGTAATTAATGTGTGAAATCCAACGTTTACTGCAACATATTGTGGTTTTCGGCTTATAATGAGTACCGTTAATAGCTGTGGTTTAATACTAGAAAACATTCTACTAGCACTATTACAAAAAAATAACAGCCTTTGACCTGTTTTTTAAATTTCTATACTGTTTTAATGGCATTCAACTTTCTAAAATTAAAGTTTCTGGTAACCATTGTTGTTAGTGTGGGAATGAAATTGAATATATATATCATTTGTATACAACATGATGTTTTGAAATAATGTGTTGTGAAATGATTAAATACAGCTTATTAACACAGCCACTACCTTTGATTTGTTGTGGTCTTTATTTGTTAGTGGCGACTGTTGTCTGTCCTCCTAGCAACTAAGCTGTAATGCACATGTTATTTGATTCCAGGGCTCTCGGGTTGGTAGAATTGATGCTTTCGTTCAGAGCGTGGACAAAAATTTTATGGTTCCAGTAGGTGGCGCTATAATTGCTGGCTTTAATGATGCCTTCATTCAGGAGATCAGCAAGATGTATCCAGGTAAATAAATAAGTTGTTCTCAAAAAAGTAACTAATCAAAAATCTTTGTGTACAGAGCCTGCCATAGTTAATCTTAATTTCCAAAGCTCCCTCCCCCAGCCCTCCTTCACAAACCTTGTTCATCTTCATTTTAGGAAGAGCTTCAGCTTCGCCTTCCCTGGACGTCCTTATTACTTTGTTATCACTTGGATCGAATGGCTATAAGACGCTGTTAAAGGAGAGAAAGGTAAACCACTTTAGATGTAGGTCATTGCTCCTGGTTGGAGAGCTGCTATTCTTGCCTGTTGTTTGTCACATTGGAAGTGTAGGTCTCTAGTTCGATCCTACTGGATTTATTCACATCAGGAACCGTGGAGGTGTTTTTGTCATCTGTAATTTGTCCTGTAGGAGCTAATCATCATCCTGTCTGGCTGGGTATTCTGAAGAATATTATGGACTTATTACCTTTACTGTTAGTATTTATTAATTTTTAAATATTTAAGTATTATTTTTATTTTTTGTGTATGAGTGTATTGCCTGCGTGTGTGTAAGTGCACCTGTGTTGTGCAATGCCCTCAGAGGTCAGAAGGCATCAGATCTCTTGGAACTGGAGTTATGGATGGTTGTTATGTGGGTGCTGGGAATTGAACCTGGGTCCTCTGCAAGAGCAGTCAGTGCTCTGCTGAGCTCTCTCTCTCCAGCCCCAGTATTTATTATTTTAAAATGTTTGCATTAAGGATTCTTGTTAGTTAAGTTCATGTATCATCCAAAGGTAGAAGACTCTCTTTTTTTATAGTATTTTCAATTTTCATTTTAAAAATTTGTGTGTGGGTATGTGTCTGTGTATCTTGGTGTGCATGTGTCGTGTGTGTGTATGTGCCTGTGTCTGCGTCTGTCTGTGCATATGTCTGTGTCTGTGTGTGTATCAGAGGACAACTTGTAGGAGTTGATTCTCTCCTACCTTGTGGGTTCCAGGGATTGAACTCAGGTGGCCAGGCTTAGAGTGAAATATTTTATCTGCTATCACTTTTATCTAGTTAGCTGGGTTTTTATTGTTGTTGGTTATTTGTTTTTTGAGGCAGGGTCTTGCTATACAGCCCTGTCTGGCCTGTAGCTTGCTTATGTAGACCAGGCTTGCCTCAAACTTGTGACAGTCCTCCTGCTCTCCTACCTCTGCTTTCCGAGTGTTGGGACTACAGGTATGCACCACCGTTCCTGGCCTAGGAACTCTTGAAAAATAAATGCAAGTTTTCTTTTTAGTTTTTTGGAAAACTTAAGACTTTTTTAGATGTGAGATGTTAGTCCCAAGAGGAAGTACGAGGTAGGAGTTGCAGGTTTCTTATATTAAGATATCTTTCTCCCTCATCACCATGGAAATGCTGAGCTCCTTAGTTATGTTGACTGTGAAAAGAAAAGTGATAAGCATGATGGTGTGGGCCTGTAGGAGTCCTAGATACACAAGAGGCCAAGGCAGGCAGATCGCTGGAGCCCAGGAGTTTGTGGCCAGCCTGGGCAACATAGCAAGACCCCATCTCTTCAAACAAACTAAACTTTGTTTCCAACACAGAAACGTCTCATTCAGGACAGTTCATAATTGATGGGAACAGGTTAAGGTGTTTATTCATCTGTCTGGGAGAGCCCACATACAGTTTCATGTGTCTGTGTGTGTGTGTGTGTGTGTGTGTGTGTGTTTATATTTACATATTTTAAAGCATTTATATATATTATCTTCTAGATCTTCTAACAGTCTTATCCATCAAACATAATTGAAGTTTAGGATTTTTTGTGGCATTTTTCCCCAGTCCTCCTTTCCTTATTAATTTAATCTATTTGCAAGTAGTTGTTTACTTTTTATTGTGAAGATATTTATTAAGATTTACATGATGGAGAAAAAGATATTCAGTGGCCATTAGAGAAATGTTAGTTAAAACAACAAGATACCACTATACACGTATTAGAAATAACTAATGTAAAAATAAATAAATAAACCCAAAACAAACAGCAACAAAAACCTGACAGTATTAAATCCTGTCAGAGATCTCAAGCAGGTTGAATGCTTTCTTAGACACTTGTAGGAGTGTATGGGACAGCAACTTTGGAACACACTCTGGCTGGCAACTTCTTATATGTTAAACATTGCCTCCTACAGAAAGCAGCCTGCCTGATTCTAGTTGCCTGCTCAAGAGAATGAGAGCTTAAATCTCCATAAAGTCTGTACTTGAATCTTAAAGGGAGCCTGTTCATATTTGCCCAACCTGGAATCCAAATGTCTATCATCTGGTGAACAGATGAACAGGCCGGGATATCTAGACTCAGCAGTGAAGTGGAACAAGCTACTGATGTACACAACACAATAATGCCTCCAGTGCATTATGACAAATGAGATAAGCTGGACTCAAAAGACTGTGCCTCCTGTTGTTTTATTTATATCCCATCTTGGAAAAGGTAGAAACAGGGACAGAAGAAGAATTAGTGGTTTCTGGAGACTAGGGGTGAAGGAGGGGGCCTTTCTGGGGTGATGAGATATCTTACGGTTTGTCTTGATAGAGGAACTGGTTTTGTGGCTGTGTATGTTTGTCAGAATTCATAGATGTGTACATTTAGAAAATGAACACCTAAAATTTTACTCTATATAATTTGTACGTAGTAAACCTGACAACAAACTTTCACACAGTAAGAATAAAACTCTGATTTTATAAATCCCTTAAATTAGTCATTACTGTTGTAGATTGTTGTAGCTAAGAGAAGGCAAGTTTTTGGAGGCACCTTGTCCAAATGACCAGGATCATCAGATGATGGGGATCTGTATGGGGAAAGCCTGTTCATTTATTGAAAGTTCAGTTGTTTCAGATGCCAGTGGGTCTTAGCTATTCTGTGGCTAATTGCTTCACCTTGGTTAATGGATGTACAGATATCCCCCCTTTGTGTAAGTTATCTTAGACCACTTCTATTTTAAAAAGACTTTAGAATATACATAAGATAAAGTTACTTTCTGGGTTTTGGACATTTAAGTCATATTGGTATAATTTAGATGTCAGACATTTTGTAAGTATGAAATTTTTCTTTTGAAGATGATGGTCTCATCTTTTTAATTTTGTGGAACCTCATATCCACTTCTGCCCCTGTTGAGCTGTCCTGCCTCTCCAGCTGAAAAATGAAAAGCTGGGGCTAGAGAGATGGCTCAGCAGTTTAAGAGCACTGGTTGCTCTTGCAGAGGACAAGGTTCAATTCCCTGCACCCACATGGCACTAACAACTGTCTATAACTCCAGTTCCAGGGGAATCCAGTGCCGCCTTCTGATCTCCGTGGGTACCTGACACAGGTGTACTTACACACATGTAGACAATACACTCCTACACATAAAATAAAAATAAATAAAATCTTTAAAAAAGAAAAAGTGAGAATCCCACCAAAAATAGTATAAACCAGTGTTTTATTGAAATCAAAATAGTGAAGCTGGGTGTGGGAGTTTTACTGAGTTCTACCTATGTAGTTTGCTGTGTATCTGTTGAGTATATTATGTATCAGGTGTGTACATGGATGTGTAGATAAAGATATCTTTATACATGACATATTAGGGATACCAGGAGTTAGCAAATAAGACACAGATTATAAGATCTTCTTGAAAGTGAAAAATGCTCTAGCAATAAGAAAGACTGAAGGGGCTTGGAAAGGATGATGTGGTAGTGGTGGGGACTGACTTGTAAATGCAGAGGTTAAGGCCGGCTTCTGTGAGAAGACCACATTGGAGCTGCTTGAGGAAATTTGAGGGAGTGTTTCAGAGAGAAAGCTGGTAGCAGGACCCTCAGGTAGACATGGCCTACTAAGATGACTGGAGCACAGTGAGCAAGGAGGAGCAGACATGGGCTGGTCGTTAGGACCTTCTTGGCCAGAATAAGGTCTTTGCCTCAGACTTGGAGACAGATGGGAGTCACTGAAAGGTTTTGACTCAAGTAACATGATATGACGTATTTTGAAGACTCTGTTGTTTCGAGAGCCAGAGGCAAGGAGAGTAGCTGGGATACTTAGGAGGCTTTCACAGTTCAAGAAGCGATCATTGGCTTGGAGTGAATGGTGGCAGAGGAGGTGCAACATTTTTAGATTCTAGGTCTGTTTTGAAGAGTGAATCAATAGGAGTTCCTAATGGATATGTTGTAGGAGAGAAAAATTTAGGCATAATGCTGAGAGCTTTCTTTTTTATCTGGGTAGTTGGAAGGATGGAAAAGCTATTAGTTGGCAGCTTGTGGATTTGGGGGGAAGGGGAATGGTTCAGTTACAGACTAACTGAATTTGGGACTTTCATTGACATCAGGATAGACGTTGAGTAGAGAGTGGATATGAATCTGTTGTTAACCTAGAGAGCAGGCTAGAGATGACAGTAGGGATGTCCATTGGTCAGAGAAGAAGTGAGACTGCAGGAGAGCGAGTGTTAACAGTGAAGGTGTGAAGAGGGAACTCCAAGTCCTCTGAGATCTTGGAATAGAAAAGGAGTGGCAAGGAGACTAGGGAGGAGTGAGTGAATTTAGTTACTGTGGCCAAAAAGACTGTTGTTATAGAGAAGATATATTTTATTTGCTTGTGGGCTCACTGTCCTTGGGGAGCTGCTCCTTCTTTGGGAGTCTTCCAGAGCTTGGTTCGGTGCCCAAAGCCACACTTCTTGATAGGTGTTCTCGTATATAATCTGTGTTTCCTTTCACAGCTGTCTCTGGAAGACCTGCCACTCATTGCTTTGAGGGGTCCTTGTGAGTCTGTTGATCATAGCATCCCTTCCTCTTTCATTAAGGGAGAGCATGTGATCTAACTACCCTGATTCACTGGTAGGCTTGTGGAGGTAAAGTCCTTCCAATAAGTTTACTGGATCCTTCAGTGATAGAGAGCCTGTTGTTTAGCAGGCACTAAGCTGCGAGAATGGGATTTTGTAATTGTCAGCTGCTATATTTTCACACTACACAAAGAAGCTTCTTGAGACCAGAGAACATAATAGGGAAAACAGACCTGAGTCACTTGGGACTCTGGATGAAGCCATACCTGTCTGTAGATTGATCTGTAGCATGAACCAATAAATCCTCTCTCTCTCTCTCT